ATGTCACGACCTTGTCTTACTGGAGGCACGGCCGGGTGGAGTTCACACAGCACCATCCCACTTTTCATGACCGTCGGGTGGAGTTCACAAAGCACCAACCCGTTTCTCATAACTATTGGGTGGAGATCACAAAGCATCAACCCGTTTTTAGTGTTCTTCTCACTCACTCTACTCTAGCCCTTCTCATCCTCTCTACTCTTAGAGTAGTTCATTCACAAAGTTCTCTACTCTTAGAGTAAGTGCATTCACAAGGTTATCTACTCTTTCTTAAGTCACTTCTCAATGCACAATTAATGCATATGGATGGTTTATCTCCACTAATGCACTTATGAAATGCCAATATGCCATGTTGCAAGAATTAAGGTTTACTACTCATACTCAAACCTCTCTTAGGCATTTCATCAAACAATTAAAGTGCATAAAAAGACTCTACTATAACAATAGCTCTATGGCTTTCTCTAACCATCCAAAATGGGAGAAACTCCCTCACATAGCTATACTCTCTGTCATAAGATAACACTTCCAAAAAGGATTTCTCAATATCCTTCAATTTCATCTCAAACTCCTCACATATTACCACTTTTTATAAAGGAAGAATATCCAACAACACAACATGAATATTCATCTCAACTCAATTTCTTAACACATAAACATATATTTCTACTCAATTTCTCATCAAGTATAATGTATACATGTATAAAGAAATCTCTACTCAAGGATTTCTTAAACTTTAGTTTGAATTGGATTTACTTACCTTGAAATTGAGGGATCTCACTAGCACTTCCTTTCCTTTGAATTGCTTGACTTTTCCCTACCCTTTAAACAATAAAACCATGAGACTTCAATATACAAATATATCCAAAACCTCACAAAATCTTACATGCAAAGCAAGAATCTTTACCTTAGGATGCCTTAGCTTGATTTTCTACCCTAATCACTCCAAAAAGCCCTCTAAAAATCCTTGAACTAATGAAAGAGGAAATGAGAGGAAGTAAGAAAGGAGAATGGCGGTGGAGAAGAAGAATGAAGGGTTTGCAATGACTTAATTCCTTTTAACACAATTTATGCACAAGCATTCCCATTTTGCCCTTACTCTTCCTTGGGAATTCCATATATATCCTTTGATTCATTACAATCACACCCCCACACCAACGTATTCTCCATAAAATTTTCTTACATTTAACTCCCCACTTTTCTTACTAATTAGGGGTAGAATGGTCAAATTGTCCTTAGGGAAGAAAATATCTAAAACTTAACAATATTTTCAGCCGACCCGTCGCCGCGGCGAAACTTTCCAGCAGCTCCTCTGTGGCTGCAACACCTCTTCGCCGCGGCGAAGATTCTTCTTCGCTCCGGCGAAGCCTGGAACCCCAAAAATCTTCTAATTTCAACTAATGTCAAGGCAATTACTCAACATATCAATACAACCAAAGGCCAACCAACCAATATTAATAATAAACCGACTCAAATAAGAGCAAAATAAGAAACATTAGCTACGTACCTCAAGTGGGGCATTACAAAACTGTAATTCCAAGTCCATCAAGAATCTGCAAACAACCCAAATCATCCAAAAGTAAAAATGCTGGAAACTTTTGATTTTTAGTATATTTTACTAACTCTTACCCACATATGCGTTATACATAAAAATCATCACAAATAGGCACCTTAAGATATTAAACATGCCAAATAAACTAAATGCAAGGATAATAAAAATATAAAATTATAAATCTATCAGTAAGTGAAGTTTTTTCCTATTCCATTGGTCTTTAATATCATTTTTCTTCTTGACAATGTCTTTTTTAGAAATTAGCAGCACCCTTTCTGATGAGGAAGTTCTAAACTTCCTAACAGAATGCAATATCTCTGATGATTATGATTTATTGCCTTGTGATTGGCCTGGGTTTTATATATGCATTGCTCCTCCTTCTGGGTGTTTTACCTTCTTTGAAATATTTTTGCAATTTGGGTTAGTTCCTTCATTCTCTCCATTTATAGAAGAAGTAATGATGGCTTATAACATTGTGCCGAGCCAGCTCCATCCAAATGGTTGGAAAATTGTTATGGCTTTTGAGGTTGTTTGCTTGATGAATGCAATCAAAAAAATGTTTTAAATTTTTAACTATTTTTATGCAATTAAAAAGAGACCCAATAGTCCCTTTCACTTTATCAAGAGTAGGAAGGGTAAAGTCTTGTTATTAGGATTGAGCAATAAATCGGGAGGGTGGAATGATAGGTACTTTTTATTGGGTTGTAAGAAAATTTGGGGTGGATTACCTACTGAGTGGTCAGAAGTCAAAAAGCGGGACAATGAAAGAGACAATATTAAGGGAAATGAAATAGCAATCAAGACATTGAAACTACTTATTCAGAAACAGCAGACTTTTGACACTATGATATGTTGAGCAAATTCTCAGATTTTAATTTAAAAAACGGTATTATGAATTTTAATTTAATTGCATCTTATTTTTGTTAGAAATTTATTGTTTTTGATTTTGTTGATGAAAATTATATTTGTGAAAGCAGTTCCAATTGCAACAGTTGTAGTAATAATTTCTCCAACCAAATTGATTGTTTTTGCACATCCTGCAACATCTACATCTAAAAAAACATATTCACCTATTGAACCAAATGATGAAGATACAGAAGAGAGTCAATTACTAAGGAGAAGGGAGCGTAAGAATGACATCCAGGAAGAAAATATAGTTCCTAAATGTGGAAAGAATTTGAAGAATATGCATGTGACAGATCTAGATAAGCTTACACCAGATGAGGATCATGTAATTTTGTAATTGTTTTTATCCTGTTTTATTAACAGAATGTGTATAGTTTGTTAGAAATGAAGCGATGTTGGCGAGGATCTGGTAATACCATTGTTAAACTATAGAAAAAGAAAATAAATCTAGATATTCAAAGGCAAAAACTTACAATTGAAAACACTTATCTACAGAGTAGATATGCAGAAGTCATAATTGAATTAAAAGATCATGAGGAGATAGTTAAAGTTGTTGGACAACATTGTGAAAACATTCATGAAGAAGTTTGTCTTCTTAAAAGACAGGAAAATAAATTATTTTACTCCAATACTAAATTAGAATCTGCTATTGCTGAAGCTGAAGCAGACATGAATGAAGCTTGTGGTTTACTAACTCAGATGTTTTTCGAAACTCGAGCAGCTTGTGTTAACGAATTTAAGTCGAGGTTTCCAAATGAAAATTCTGCTTTCTTGGAGCAATTACAATTGCAAGTAGAATAGACAAATCAGGTTGTTTCTGACGCTTCCCCAGACGTGGTTGATACTTGATCTATTGTATTTAATATGATATGTACAAATACTGAACATATGTAAATATTTTATGTGTTTTTGCAACAATATTTATAAACATATGTAAATATTTTATGTGTTTTTACAACAATGTCTATAATATATTTTAAAATATAAATTCCTTCTGGCTAAAAGTAATGTTAAAATAGTTTTTTATAAACCTTGTTATAATATGTGCAAATATTGCAATATAAAAATGATTCTATAACCCCAAGGGGTTGGCCTCGTGGTCAAGGAGGTTTGTTCCTTTCCTTGACTTCCTGGGTTCAAACCTTGGGGCCACCAACCTCAATGCATAATTGTGTCTTACCTGGTTCATTGGGTTTGTACGGTAATCAATGGACCTCAAGGGTTAGTTGAGGTGCGCATAAGCTGGCCCGAACACCCCAGTTACCAAAAAAGAAAATGATTCTATAAGAATGTTAAAAAATGATTATTGAATGTGGTCATGAATAACATTCATGCAAACTAATGCTTACACATTTTATCACAACTTTTGCTTTTTCTTTTCATTGCCATGATAACTTTGCTGAGCAAATGTACTTTGTTCAATCCTATCTTTTTTCACTTCACTTCATTCTTCCTTTCGAACTACTGTGTGTGTCTTTTCGAAAGTTGATTTGTCTATTGCCGTGTCATGCTCATGATGTTCAACACCGTGTTTAGTAACATTTGCCACTAATACCTATAATTCATCTTCTTCTTCACTTTTCTCGTCTATGCCATCTTCTCCACTTGTTGCCTGTTTTTTAATACAATTGGTTCATAGTACTTAAATGATCTGGACAAGTTAACAAATTCATATCAAAGTCTATACTGACCTTCTCCAATTCCTGTAGTTTGTATTCATTCTCCAGTTTATGATTGACTGGAAATACTTTCACTACAGTATAAGATTGAATATCCTTTCTTGAGGTTGGAATCTCCCAACCGAATCTTGAAAACAAATGTCTGGCCGCACAATTCATACAAACGTTTCGGGATTAATGTTCCTAGGTCATTCCCTTGTTTGTTTAGCAATTTATGGGCTATTGAATCAAACAATAAAAAAGTTGTTTCTCTGTCACTTTCATTTCTATCTTGTACCTATTGTAACATTAACAACACACTATAGTCAATCAATGACAATTGAATTGTAATCTGCAATTTAGTAAGGGAAAAATAAACAATATATACATACCTCATTTGAGGGAATTTCGATTCTCTTTTGAATTTCTGACAATACAAATTCTCTGAGATTTTTTTCTTGCAAAAATTACAAGACAGATAGCACCAACCAAATCTAGAGTCAACGTCACTTAGTGTAGCCTTTATTGTGAAATCAGTGACCTATTCAAATGAATTTCTTATACAAAAAATAAAATTGTAATAATTAGTTTCATTATATAGTAAATATTGTACTGATCATCATTGTTATACCACATTAGATTAGTAATATGCTTCAATATTACTCTATTTAGAAACATTTTCTTTTCTATTGGTACTTCATTGAAAATTCTCTTTTGCAGTTGAACTACTAGCATATTTTGGGTACTATAGTAATAACAATGCATAAGATATCAATCATAGACAACATTTAATATTATAATATACAATTTCTTAACATCCTACATATCTTGCAGGGAATGCACCTCCTCAATATCAAGATTTACATACATTCTTGATGTCGAAGTTGTATTCATAAATAATCACCTGCATGTTACAAAAAACATAAGTTAATTATTCACAACATGATAATTTTGTATAATATTTTTAAATTACCTTGAAACTCCTTCACATTTGTTGATGTAACAATTATAACAATAGCCTTGCCATTTTCCATTTTTAAAACTTCATTGATTTCATCACAGATTTTCCCCCACAAAGATATGGTAATTGTTTCTCTAAAATTAACAGTGTTGTAAGTTATATTAATTGATAGTAGGATGTACTGGTATTGAAAGAATAACTTCCTGTTCAATCTACAGTCTAATGTATCTTTTATGAGTCTTTGTTGATATGATTTCTTGAATTTCTCCTATTCCATTCAGAATACCAATTACATCTGCATATCATTATTTATGTTAAGTATAATATATTACTTCATTTTTCATAGACTTGAAGTATCCATAAGTAAAACTAAATATACCTGACAACAAAGTAGTATCATGTGATCTATTATCAAGATCATGAATAACATAAAATTTAAAATAAAACTTTGGAATGGCTACTCTTGGTTCTTTGATCTCCTTCAAAGATTTGGTCATTAGAAATTGTATACGATATGTGCCTTCCACAGGTTTGTAAGAAGTATCACATTCTATAACTCTCACATTTCTGATGAGATATATACAACCTTCATGAATTTGGCTTCTAAACTTAGGAACCCTATTTTTTGGTATAGTTCCATGCATCACATTGCTCTGTAAAACCAATGGAAATGAAAAGCATTAACAAATATGTGTAATTAATAAATAATAAAACTATAAACTAATTTAAATATGTTTTGTACCTGTTCATCCATCAAAACCATGTCAATGCTAAACACATCGTTATTCATTTTAAAATTAATACATTCCCAACATCTTATTACTCTAGCAATGATTATCCAATCATCACGTGATTGGTTAAGATCTTTAAGCGAACAATAAGACATTGCAATCAATTGCCTGCAGGGGAAAAAAGACAATAATCAATAACGTATAGTAATGGTGCAACATTACTCGACATTTGGATTTTCAACATTTAATCAAAAACCACAGTTGGTGTATCAATATTAGACCAATATAGTTTGACAACTGAATTGTATGTTGACAATTATAAATTATAGTTGTATAATTAATAAGTGCTCTACATGGATCACCGTGGTGCTCTGCATGGTTCCCCCTATGGAGTTCATGTGGCATAATCACAAACATACTAATGGTTCATCATGGTTTGGCTGCCGAACCATAACCATAATATAAATAATTATTGTTCGGCCTTGTAGGGCTTGTGTAATACCATTGTAGACATACTAATAGTTCGCTATGGTTTGACATCGAAACATTAACTTATTATATATGTCATTATAATTCACAATAAACGAATAAAACAGTCATTACCTTCATCGGGATATATAAGTAGCAGCTTTAATTCTTCCACAAATCGTATATACCTAAATCAAATTTGAGGAAAAAGTTACTAGCGTGAACATAAGGGAAAAATATAGAAAAAAACCATAGTTTTTGTATCAATAATTGTTGATATTTTTGTCAAACTTATGTTATGGTGGACAATGAATTGTTGAGCAAATATGTGCACACACCATTCTTCTGTGCAAGCATTTGCCGTCTGACACATTTTGCCAAGTGGCATTTTCTCTTTGTTGTCGTGCCCATCAAGCTTATTTTGATTCATGATATTCTTGTGTTAGCTAAATTTACAAGTGTCACAATTTCCTTGTGTGGTCCTAAAAGGTTGTAAGACTTTGTCTGTGGTCCCGCAAGAAATAGAAAAGTTATGTTTGTGGTCCAACAAAAAGTTATAATTTTTGTCCTCCACGTATTCAACTATGTCAGGCTTATGTCTTTTTCTTTTTCATTTCATGTATGCACACACTAATCTGTTGTGCTAACATTGCATGTCTGATTCATTTTTCACAAGTTGCATTTTTATCTTTTTCAGTTGAGATATTTTTTCCCATCTGTTGTGCTGTCATGAGGACCACCTATAGGTGTCCTAATATTCTCTTATGGTCCAGGGAAATAAGCTTTTTCCCTTTTTGGTTGTGGTCCCAAAAGATAGATGGAATCTTTTCCATTTTTGGACCACCATATGCCAGCCCTTGTTTGTTGACTTGGCAAGAATTAGGAAGCACGAAATTGGTCTATATCATTTTCATTCTTGCTCATTTGTGAACTAACCTTTGATATTTCATTTTACTTGTGCTCTAAAATTTTCAAAGGGTTTTTCCTCAAAGGTTCAACTTATGTTTATGTGCTAAACCGTCACCATCTCTTATACTTGATTGAATGGTTGCTAGAATATGGTTCCTTTGCTAATGTTGGAGCGTGTGTTCAGCGATTGAAGCTTGGGTGGAGCTCAAGCGTTTTCCAGGAGTGAACCTGGTGTGAAGAGATCCATGGTGCAATAAGACATTAGAGATTTAGAGGGTGGTGCTTAGTTTAACTAGAACAAGGAGTTCTCTTTGTTGTAGCTAAAATCAACTTTGAACTATATCTTGCAATGTTTGTTGTTTAGTGGATTTGCTTCGATCTTGACAAGGTCCTATGGATGTAGTCTAAGAGTGGTTTTAGCCAAACCATGTATATGCTGGTGTGGTTTACATTTATTGTTTATGGATGATTGATTCATGCTTAAGTTGATAATCATTAATCAATTTGGTAAAAACTTCTGCTGCACTTTAAAAATGGGTAACCTAACACCAAAGTGAGTTATCAAACTCCCAACAAGTGGTATTAGAGCTTGTTTTGATAAGTTGCTTCAGTTGATCCTTACCTATTTTGCTTGTCTGAGTGGTCTTGTGTTTGGACAAAATCTGTTCTATGTTGTGTTTTATTTTAGATCTATTGCGTGTCTGTGTGTGTACAACCATTTGCTGTGTTAGCATTTGTCTGATTGTTTTTCATTATGAGTTTCTTTACTGAAGGAGGGTCTGTTCATTGACCACCTTTGTTAGAAGGACCTAACTATTATACATGGAGACCTAGGATGCGTGCTTTTCATAAATCTATAAATGAAAGAGTTTGGCCCATAGTTATGAATGGTTGGATAGCCTCGGTTGTTGTTGAAAATGAAGTGTCTAGACCCAAACCAGTTGCTGCCTGGACTGCTGATGAATTAACTCTTGCAAATTATAACTCTAAAGCCATTCATGCTCTTTTCAATGCTGTTAATGTGAACCAAATGAAATTCATAGATAATAGTGAGCTTGCCAAGGATGCTTGGGATATGCTTCAAGTCAAGAATGAATGAACTAGTATAGTTAAAAGAAATAGGCTTAGAAGACTTGTCATTGGTTTTGAAAATCTGAACATGGATCATGATGAGACTATGACTGACTTTTATGGTAGAGTATGTTATATTTCTAATGAATGTTTTGCTTTGGGAAGAACATATTCTAATGATGAACTTGTCAGAAAGGTTCTTTGATCTCTCCCTCGAAGATTTATGTCAAAGGTGACCACCATTGAAGAATGTTGTGATGTGGATGCCATGGACATTGATGAACTCATTGGCTCTCTCCAAACCTATGAACTGAATCTGAAACGTTGGGATAAATAGAAACCGAGCAAAGGTTTGGCTCTCAAACATAAGGTTGATTCTGATCCTTTTGATGATTATAATTTTAATTCCTTGGATCATGAAAATTGTGTTTTACTTACAAAAAAACTTTGCTAAGTTTCTTAAGAAAAACATGAAAAAGCCTTTTGATGGTGGCAATGGCCGAAAACCTTTTGTGAAAAATTCTTATGACCATCAAACCCCTGATACCTTTTCAAAAAAGATTTCTGAAAGATAGAGAAAAGAAAAATAAAGGTATCAAGTGTTTTGAATGTGAGGGCTTTGGGCATATACAATCTGAGTGTGCTAACACAATGAAAAAGAAGAAAGGTAAGGCTATGGCTGCAACTTTGAGTGAGAGTGAGCATGATGAGAGTGATGATAATGATTCGGGTGATGATGAAAATGTTCTTGCCTTCATCGTGAACCAAGAAGATGATAAGAGTGAATGTTCAAATGACACTGTTGATATTTATGCTGAGCAACAAAAAACTTATGATAAAATGTATGATCAATGGCTAAAGGCTGTGAAAAAGTTTCAATCTCTTGGTATTGAGAATGCTACCTTGTTGAAGCAAAAGAAAGCCTTGTCCGAAAAGATTGTTGTCTGAAAAGATTGTTGTCCTTGGTTTTTATCTAACTGAGGCTAAGGCCATCATTGATAAGTTGAATGTAGGTTCTCTCAAGCTTGATGAAGTCCTTGGTCAAGGAAAATCCTTCGGAGATCGGTATGGCTTGGGCTTTAGTTCTAGTGCTAGCACATTGAAAGCTGGTGCAAGCACGTTTGTTAAGGCCACCAAAACTCCTGCTGAAGGTACTTGGCGTGCTGTCATAGGCACCCAGAATTAAAACCCTAAAAAATACACGTAGTAATGTGAGTAGGGATCGTTCCCACGAAGAGTGTCTAGTTGAGTTTAATGTTATGTGAACAAGGCTGGAGGGTTTTGAGTAAAACAGAAATAATTTCAGGAAAAACAATTCAAATTAAACTATTGAAATCAATCAAATAACGAAACTTGGTCTAGGTCAACATCCACCATCAGGATCTTACAACTGATCATCGATACAAAAATAAATCAATTCATACCCTGAATATTCACTGTTGGAACTATTTTCCTATCTCTCCTTAGTTGTAATTAATTAAGAAACAAGCGATCTAATTAACCTTACTACTAAACCACCCTAGACAAGCGCTAAAGATTTAATCTAGTGGCAGCCTTAAGACCTAGAGAGATCGATGAAGCTAAACAACACAAACTCAAGCGGTTGCATTTAATTTAGTTGAATGTTCTTCTTAAGACTTAATAATTCCTGACGCAACAAATTCTTAAACCCTAATTGCTTCACAAGTTAAAGGGATCAAACAATTACGAATTTGATATCTAACTTAGCAGTAGATTGCAACAAATAATA